TGAGCACAAATCTGCTGACAGTTCACAAAACTGCTTTCAAATAATGAGTCAGCTTAATGTGAATAATCACTGGAAATATTAAAACTCATCGTTGCAGCTAAAGAAAACTGCCCCCAGAGTCTTCACAGGTAACGTTAACAGATTTGGCATTTCACCAGATCCATAAAAGCCCTTTTCAGTCCATCTTTCACCAATCTTCTATCCAACAGGCTGTCTGTACAATGAATCCGATTTCTCAGCCAAGCAGCCCACCTCGGGGCAAAGCGCTCCTCTAAAATCAGGTCACACTGTGCACGCTGCGCTGTCCCTGCTCTGCAGCACTGGTGTAAATGAAATCAGGGCATTAAAGCACACACCAGTCCTGCTCTGCCAATGTTTCTGAGTGCAACCCAACCCCAAGGCAGTGGATGGCCAGAGGACATGTGTACAACCCGAAATGTCACAGGTAGGTCCTGGTTTAGGTGTAACAGGATTAAATCTCTTTAGAAAGCGGGGTTTTGGTAAACTTGGGTTTAAAACACAAAGGCAGTACAGCGAGAGGAGCAGCATTTTCCAGGGATCCTTTAAAGCTGAAATTAATTCAAACACAGTATCTTGTGAGGGCAGGGGTGCCCAGGAATTGGCTGTGTCAGTCACTTCCCTCCGGGTACAGGATTTTTCTGTCATTTTTCTGACTGCTGTAAGCAGGCACATGGAGCTGCAGCAGATTACGCTGCTGCCTTCCTGAGCAGCCACAGCTCAACGGTGACAATTCAGAGAGCTCTTCTAAAGACAACACAACCAACCTGCTCCCAAAACGGCTGAGAAAGAACAAGATAATTCAAATCCCTACACACTCCTGCCCCATATCCTCAGAGCTTCTGCAGCCCCGAGGTGCTGGAGCACAGCGTCTTGCAGGGACTCTGAACTGCCTGCATTCAGCATCACTGTGGGTTATGCTTCTGCCACTCCAGTGGAGGAAGAGTAACACTCCTGCGTTAGCCTCTGCTGAAAGAATACTTTCAAAAGATAGCGAAGGACTTTGTTAAGATGAGGAGCTCTAACACAGGCAGTCCCAGGCTCAAAACACCACCACGGTTCAGACTTAAAGGGCTATATTAAGAACACCCTACTTCTCCCGTGCAACCATAAATCCAGAATCCTATTTAAGTGGTCACTGGCAGCTGTAGATGAAACAAGAGGCTGAAGGTTTCAAAACTGGGTGACTAACATCTAGCATAAAGACAATAATTAAACTCAAAGCCAAATTACGGGTGGGAAACCACTGTCCCAAAAGATTTCAAATCTTAACCTTATATTCCTTCCTCTCCCCAGCAGGTTCAGTTCCAGCACCACACAAGAGCATCCTCTTAATGCGAAATAAAACCTGACATCAGATTTCACGCAACTCCATACAATTTACACATGTTCCAAAATAAATAACAACTTCTCTGTATTCTGTCATGGAATATTTAACAGCTCCTAATCTGAACTTTCATTGCCTCTGGCTTAAAGCTGGAAGATGGCAAATTAGCCCCAGTGTGTCAGAAATTGCTGACAAGACGGAGCTTTTTTGCTTTTAGCTTTCCAGTATCTCTCTTGGCTTCCATTTACAGATTACAAGACTAGATAATAAAACCATAATACCTCTACAAACGTTTGCATCAGCAGTCAGTAACATTCACACGCCATAACGCACTCCCTAGAATTAGACAAGCTTTACAGCACACAGATCTTCAGGGCCAACAAAGTCATTAAGGCAAAGCTTCAGGGGAAAGGATTTTCTGAAAAACTACCACGCTTCACCATTTCACTTTCCACGGTTTCGAGAGGATTGTTAGAGATGAGATTAAAATATCTGCAAAGAAACAAGGAAAGTGTCCTTATTCACCAGAGAACCCTGCCTGTGGCAGTGAGGGACGATGATACATCACTCAAGAGATACTTTTCCATCCTTTCACACTATACTGGCTATCGATACTGCTTTTATTTGTTCTTAAAGGATAAATTTGGGACACAAAGAGCAGCAACTCTACAAGAAAAACCTTCCTGGCTCCACTTCAAATACAAAAACCACTCCTTATATGCACACTCGGATACAAGCCTACGCTTATGCTTAAGAAGCTCCAGAAGAGCAGGAGCTTGAGCACTGCAGCGTTTCCATGCAGTGCAGTTAATTCAATCTTCTCAGAAAATCCAATAAAACAGGGCCTGCCAGATTACCCAATATTGCACTTTCAGTAACAGACAGAAGGGGGAAGAGATCCCTCACGCACGATCCGACACATCAGCCCCTGGCATTGCTTGTTCCCAAGTGATCTGTCCTGGAGAAACCATTCAGCTCTTCCAGCCAGCTCAGGATGCTTTTCTTCCGCGAGAAAGTATTAAAAATGAGGAGATCTTACAGCCAAACAAGAGTCTTTTCAAGGGAAATGAATTCAACAAAGAATTCTGAAAATCTGCAGTCCTCACCCATTGCATCTAGCAAGGAAAACTGAAATGTGTGAACACCACAACACTGTGAGATGAAACATTTCATTTAGCTATGTTGGTTAAAAGGCTGTTACAGTCTCCTAGACTTTATTTCTATTTTAACATTAATAAGAACATGCTGAATATCTGGCAAAGAGGGTGGATGTCCATTTTTAATAGGCAAATCTCATGCTACAGATTGCAAATCTAAATGCCTCTGATCTCCTCTTCAAAGCTCCAGAGGAATGAAAGAAAACTCTACCAGAATATACAGTACAGCAACCGCACCTTAAAGCTGCTCAGGAGAGCATTTCCCAGGAGCTAAGCAGAACTGATTTCCTTTTATCTATTTAACCAAATCCTTCTTTTCAGAACAAAAGAAGAGTATCGTTCTAGAATAAAATAAAACATGTAAGGATGCCATCTCTTTCACTTGAAATAATGGAAAGCATCTTGTCCATTAAATTTAGAAGGCCCAAGAATAATCCCACATTTACGTAACATTAAATGTCTGGATTTTGATGAAACTCCTTCCTTGTTTCCTAGGATAAAAGCCAAAGCTCTACTCGAGGTTTTCAATTATCAGAAGCACTTAGCACAGCTGGTTTGTAAGACACTGGTTTGCTTGGCTATACGCAATTAAACCATACAAGAAACATATTAAAACTTCAAAAGATACAGATCGTAAAAACTAACAACCATCTGTATTTTTGCTGATAGAGAATTAAATGCAGGGAAGTTTACAACAGAGGAAGAACCTCAAGAGAGGAAAAAAAAAAAAGCCTGCGATTTCTAAAGCTTCTTAGGTACATGCTTATGGGGGAGGAGAAAAAGAGATTAAGAAATCATTACCTCAGAAGCAATCCTGCAAAGGGAGATACACAGCAGAGTCACCCACACAGGCAAGTGGAGTATCCCCTACAAAATCAACGCTATACAGAAGGAACAACCAAACTCCCTTCTCCACATCTAGTCCCCTGGTAAGCTTCTTTAAATGGCCAAGGAACAGCAACTCCAAACACACCCTGCATTGTTCAGTGCTTGCTGTGAGGAACGAACGGTTTGAAGCGTTTCGCACAGCAAACAACAGTTACGTGCACTAATGAAAGTTCAGAGCTGGTGAGGAAATCACCCTGCGGAACAAAGCAAAGGTGTGCTCAGCATCCTTAGTGATTACTACTTCAGTGCGCCAGCATAAGTTTCAAACAACAGTATTTCAAGTTATCTCCTAAATGGAGAATTTTTTGTAGTTAACAGAGGACTACAGACCTCGAAATAAATGAATGTTGTAGTGGTAATAATATCCATGTTCTGTAAAAATTCATACCGAATCAAGGCTTAAGTATGGTATTACAGAAACACTAAGATGTCTGTTATTCCACTGTTAAATGAGAGGCAAAATTAGAATTCTCATACCTGGAAACCTCATGCACTTTTTTTGAACCCCACATGCTAAAAGCATTTCCTTTTGAAAACCAAAACACATTTCTTCTGCTCTTCTCCATAGCTTTAACTGGAGAGCGAGTTCCTTCATCCCAGCTTGATTTGTCCCGCTACCTCCAACTGCTCTCACAGACACCGCCTGCACACGTCAGGGGTACTGACACCATTCACGTATTTAGAATTTGAGAGGCGCTTTGGGACACAGGACATGACAAACTTCAGACTCTGAAAAGTGCAGCTCAATCGATCCACCGCGCTGGCTCAGTTACCGTCCTCCACACGCTATAAGCATTCATTTAAAGAAAAGATTTTCCTTCAGAATTAGACCACAACCACTGACATTCCAGCCAAAGCAGCTTTCATCAGATCATTACTTATATTAAGAAGGATTTAGTGCCAAATCAGGCCTCTTCCTAACATGACAGGGAGTTCCCCCAAGCAGTGGTAGAAAGAATCCATTCTTCCCACACCATTGTATTATTTTAAGAATGAAATAGAGTAGTTAGTACTGATACTTGCATACCAAACGCTGATACTATAAATATTTAAACACAGACATATTCAAAGCATTGCTACTCCAAGAACTGCTGAGCAAGCAATAAAAAATTAAACACCAATACTCTTCCCACAGTAAAAGAGCAGCAACATCAAGAGAGTAGCAAAATTATTCAGGAAATGCTCTGTGTTTCTATTTTTTTTTCTTGAATTATACTCATTTTCAAGCTAGAAACAAACAAACAAACAAATCCATTCGCATTCTCCCTACTGAGACTGGGGGCCGACCACATCAAACACTGGAACAGGTTCACAAAAGCAGCTGGACAATGCTACCTTTGGGAACCGCCAGCAAACAACTGCTTTTTCAATTGGTTTACGTCAATACACACATCCTCTCCAAAACAAACATTTAAGCAGTCATTTGAAGAGACATCAGTGCCACCAGCAGATCCACAGAGACGCAGCCATCGCAGAAAGGCCCTTGCAGTCAGCGCATGAATCCTCCTTGCAGGCACCATTTACTCTCAGAGCTCAGAGCAGATCAGAATACAAAAATCTCTTGAAAGAAAAGGAAGAGAAACTTTCTACGTGCGTTTCCTTGTACTTACAGCCATGGTAAGAGGCTGGGGATCCTCCAGACTTTCCATACTCTTGCTCCGAGTAGCTGGTGGACAGGTTTGGCTGACTGGAGCCGCGGCCAAAGGTGATCTGATTGCTCCCCACTCCAGTGGCCACCTGAGCCATGCGTTCTTTGGTCTTCAGCGCTTGGGCCCTCTCCGTCTTGAGTCGTTCGTCATCCTTCAGCAGAGACACCAGCTGCTTGGATTTCTCCCTCACGTTGATGCCCTGGTCTTTACCATCTCGATCAATATACTGAAAATCTTTCAACGTCTGGATAGCAAAAATATTCTCTTTACACTGCTGCGCTACTCTCTCGGAGCCAGTTTTAATCAGGTAATCGAGCAGAGTAAGGGCCTTGTACACGTGTCGCCAGTTCTTGCCGTGGTCATTCAGTCGTTTCCAGATCATGCTCATAATTTCAGAAAAGGCCACAACATTGTAAGTCAGATCTGCTATTTCAGTCATTAATGAACTGGAGGGACCCCAGGGGTCATTAGAGGTCGCTTCCCGAACTTTTATTTCGGCCTCGGAATAATTGTTCACAATGTTCTTCATCTGCCGCCGAATAGACGAAGTCGTCATTTTTATTTCCCTTTTTCAGAAGACAGATTCCAGAACAGACAAAAAAGGGCTATATTTGCTCTTCTATGAACGTTTCTGAACTGCGAGGGCTCCGTGTCAGTGGCTGATTTGTAACACGTTCCACTACAACCATTTCCTCTCTTCAAGAGAATGACACGAGAAAATGAAAATCATGACCTGAGGAAGGAAAGAAAACAAAGCACGTTAATAAAAGACACTACTATTCCTACACGGAAAGCAATATATAAACTTGTGAGAAATTTTGCTGGAGTTAGCTGATGAATTTTCTCCCTGAATTTCTTCAGGACATCTGATTTTGAACACAACCTGCTCTTCTCACAAGTAATATTCAACATTGAGGATTAAAAACCTGAACTGCTGAAGATGAAAACAGGAAGATATCCACGCTGATGCAAATGCAAAATTTGAAAAGCAAAACAGAAACAGAGTCCAAGAAACTACTTAGGGATTTAGTTTCCGACGAGATAAAACCTACCTAGAATGTTTAACTACAGAAATGACAACGCTACCTTGCAGAGCTGAGATGAAACTACATGAGAAATGCCACGCTTTGCGGCCGTCAGCTTCCCTCCAGCGGTGGACACCGGCAGTTTGCTGCCATTGCTGTAGGAATTTGTGTACTGAGAGAATAAGGAAACTTCCTCAAAACCAACCAAGCCGTTTCTGAAACCTCAGGTACGTTTGAAGCACACTCAATTTCAGGGCTGAGATTTTGAGCATTCAGCCAAGGCCTGGGGAAGAGAAGTGAGCACCAGAACCATGCACTCCAGTTCAAGGTGACCTTTAACGCTAAGCAGATTAGAGAGGAATTTTTTTCTCCAAATGCATTTACTTTGTGCATTTGACAACACTCATCAGATCCACAGTTTCTGCTCTGTGTTTCACACAGCACAGAAGAATTTTTAATTAGATGAAAATGGCATTGTAAAAGCAAAACGACTGGCAAGAAAACCCAAGGACAAGCTCTGGAGCTGGAGAGCTGTGTCAGTTATTTCAGGTCACTGTTTCAAGTAAACAGAGGCCTCTTAAGCTTTAGAATACATTACTGGAGTAAAGCAGCAGATTTTGCTTTTACAGTAGCAGTTAGAACAGCCCTTGATATTCACACTAAGCACTGATTCTGTAACTGCACACTCAAGATGTCCTTTAACAAAGTTTCTCCAAACACTCCAAAGAAGCAACTTATCACTTACTAAAGGCAGGGGAGAGAAGTAAAGCACAGATTTCCAGCCTAACATTGTTACTATTCTTCAAATTACTACTGTATCAGTTAAAATGAAAGCAGAATTAAGGTCAGCTTGGACAACAACGCAGCTCTATGACTTTCTCAGCAAAAAGGCAAATACTTTTCCTAGAAAACCATTCTGAGCAAGCTAAACCACCACAGAACAGGTCCGGGGAGATGCTGCATTTTATTTTGTTCCACTGACGTTAATTTTTGGCAGAATAAAAACCTGTTATGGCATCACGGAAAATTAACTTTAAATGAGATCAACACTAAATTTCGGGTAAACAGCATCACCCTGGTGTTTTCCCCAGTATTTAAAACCAGCTGCAGAAGAATGTGGATCTGTTGTCAGATGGCTCACAGCAACAGGATTAAAAAGGGGCATCTTCTCCTGCAGCATTTACAGGTTTGTGCGTTATAAACCCAGAATTTGAAACGGCTGATCCTACATAAACATTCCCAGGTGTTCATGACTGCTGCTTCACTCCCGAAGTTAACATGGTCCGAATCTGCCAGCTCACCTGCCCTTGTGATCACTCTTCAATGCATTACTCCAAAAGGTGAGGATTAAATTGAATAAATAAATAAACAAACCCACAACACGCACATCTTATCTAACCTCAAGCACTTCTTTTTGTCAATCATGGATAAGGTAAGTTCACAGATAAAGCTGAAACAAGTTATCCAAGGAGGTGGCAGCATCTGGCAGAAAGATGGTCACAAAGACCTCAGAGCAGACAGTACCTTCTTTTTAGCTGGTGAAACTGGAGCCAGCAGAGGACACAAACGCAGACCTATCATGAACACGACTGCACTGATGAGATGGATCCCAGATCAGAAGAATGCAACCCCCCCATAAGGGCTGAGCTTGTCACCCAACCAGAAAAGCAGTAAATAACATTTAAAAAATCAAAACCATGAGAACTACGAAACCTCCTGAACCAGTTTGATAAAAGGCCACCAGCCTGGGACACAAATACTCATGTAAAGAACATCTATGTATTTCCTTGCAACCTGTGGTGGAGGCTCTCAGCCAGCAATGACCACACCGTGTCTCTACCAACGCCTCTTTTGAAGCCACTCCTATTTCCTGTGTCAGCCTCAGGCGAAAGGACACAACATCAGTGCAGTGACCCCACTGCACAAACAAGAAACTTCAGCTTATTTTTTTTTTTAAACTTGGACATTTGTTCCCCAGACTGCGGGCAGGGGGCATGCTTTTTAAGAAAGAAGAAGTCACCTTTCAGCTTCTTTCTGGTACTGATGATTTTACAGAAATCGGCCATCACCTTCCGAACTGAGGATCTCCTGAAATTCAGTCCCATTTAGAAGCTACTCCGTATCCTTGATCACCCCTGATGTCCTTCCACACATGTATTACACTGCCATTGCTTGAGCTATATACAGTTCTAAACACTCTACGTTTCAGATTTAGCAGTAACAAAAGTTTGTATCACAACACAGTCATTTACTGCTTGGATTTCCCATTCTTTATCAAATACTTTCCAAAAGCTTGTATTCATTTTGGCAGTTGTGCCCCTGTGATGCACGTAAAACCAGGGTCATTTCTTCTCCCTGTGCAAATGCATTGAGGCTGTTTCATCTGCCATTCTGTCACTCAGAAGATCTCAATCTTTCTCCCTTTTAAGTCAAGATTCCTTTCAAATTTGACTAATTTGGTTCAATTCAGCCGCTTTGTGATTTAGAAGCTATCTGGAAAAGGGAGTATTTGCAAGAACACTGATCTCTGGCAGGACACTTCACTGGCAATAACCCTTCACTGTGAGAACCAACCATTTACTCCTAACCCCATTTCCTGTCTTTTAACCCACTGTAAATCTATGAAAAACATTCCTGTCTTATGAGAGTTTTGTTTCTTTAAAGGCCAAGGATGAGAGGCCTTACCAAAGTATTTTTAACAGCCAAATACACTATACAAGCAAACGACTTGCCTACCTGTACCTCTCCAACTAAAGAAAAAAAGTTTATTACTTGTTACAACTTTACAAGCTTTTGAAAAACTCTTTTTTATACCACATGTCACAGAACAGAACCACAGAACCACAGAACGTCAGGGATTGGAAGGGACCTCAAAAGCTCATCCAGTCCAATCCCCCTGCCGGAGCAGGAACACCCAGATGAGGTTACACAGGAAGGCGTCCAGGCGGGTTTTGAATGTCTGCAGAGAAGGAGACTCCACAACCTCTCTGGGCAGCCTGGGCCAGGGCTCTGTCACCCTCACTGAGAAGAAGTTTCTTCTCCAATTTCAGTGGAACCTCCTGTGTTCCAGTTTGTGCCCATTACCCCTTGTCCTATCATTGTTTGTCACCGAGAAGAGCCTGGCTCCATCCTCGTGACACTCACCCTTTAAATATTTATAAACATGAATGAGGTCTCCCCTCAGTCTCCTCTTCTCCAAACTAAAGAGCCCCAGCTCCCTCAGCCGCTCCTCAGAAGGGAGATGCTCCACTCCCTCCATCATCTTTGTAGCCCTACGCTGCACTCTCTCCAGCAGTTCCCTGTCCTTCTTGAACTGAGGGGCCCAGAACTGGACACAATATTCCAGATGCGGTCTCACCAGGGCAGAGTAGAGGGTCAAATTTACCTTTCCAAATGCCAACACATGGGAACACTTACTAGTCCTGAGTAACACCAACTTTGGCCAGTGAAATAGATACCTGAAGAATTCATCAGAATCACAACATCAGGTTAGAGATAAGGAGGAAGTTCTTTACTGAGAGGGTCGTCAGAAGCTGGAACAGGCTGCCCAGGGAGGTGGTGGAGTCACCATTCCTGGATGTGTTTAAAGAGCGGGTAGACGAGGTACTTAGGGATATGGTTTAGGGGGTAGACAGGAGCGGTTGGACGTGATGATCTCAGAGGGCTTTTCCAACCGAGCGATTCTGTGATCAGCAGGCACAGGGTGCGATTCTGTGAGCCACCCCAAGCTAACTGCAAACCACCACCAAACCTGGGGGCCTCCCAACCATTGCCTTCCCCTTTCTCACAGCAAATCTAGCAATTACACAACAGCACAGGAAAAGTAATCAGCTTCAAGTCTCATTGAAAATGAGCTTTTTAGCACTGGTTCTTGTACATATGTGCGCAAAAAGCCCAGTTCATGGCAGCCCCATACCCCAAAACTGGGAGCTTTGTTAGAGTGAAGCTTCTGAAGAAGGCTCCAAACAGAGAGTAAGTCTGGAGTAGTGCTTTGGAGAAACGGACATAGAGCAAACACTTCAAGAAGACAACACACTGGAGTAGGTGAAGTGAGCATTTTTCACTCTTCCATAAAATTAAAGATTTCACTGGAATGATTCTTTACCATCACATCTTTGATTCATTAAAACAAAGGCATTTAATAATAACAGTAATGTCTTTTTTTCCCCCTTTTCTTGATGGAAAGACTTGTTTTCTAATCCTATTCTACCTTTAACCCACTACAGACAATTTACTCTAAACTTCATTTTATTCTGTTAAAAACACAGAGGATGACTGTGGATGTTTTTTCATTCCCCCTCCCGATCTACTCATACCAATATTTGAGATAACTACTTTGGCAGCAGCAGTAAACCTCACCGAGAACTCTGTACGCCTTTCAGGATCTGCTCTACAAACTCTCTGCTTCTACTCCACACAAAGGATGCATTTTACTTTATTACTGCAGTTCGTGGAGCACCGTAACAGCCCATCTTATGGTTAAAGAGATCAAAAACCCAAATATCCCTACTGAATAAAAGTGAGAAACCGTTTCTAATGCGTCATCAAATACTTACATAGAAAGTTTGGGTTGGTTTTTTTTTTCCAGAGACCTCGGTGAATTAACTTCTCACAACAAACCACAAGGAAGTACAATGCACTTGCAACTTCAGCAAAAATCTGAGTTTGCATTTTTAACAGTACGGTTGCAAAGAAAGCAAAAAAGTAAGATGAG